AAACACCGTTTTAGTCTATTTCAATCTTCAAAAGCTACTATTTATACAGCTTGACAGCTTACTAGAAAATAGCTTTGGCATTATAGTCTTCTACCTCAAAGACAGTCATGACTAGAAGCCTAGTCATAAGATACTCTTAGCAGTAGTTTAGCCTATAATGTTCATCAGCTAGACCCTTTCTAGCGCCAAGCAACGCTATAGACTTTCCAAATTAGAAGTCAGCTGCCTAGTCTACGCCATGCAAAAGATTAAGACAATAATTTAATTGTTAGAGAAGCTAGTAATTATACTAACTAATCACTTGGCTACCAAAGAAATTGTAAAGCAGACCACTTTCAATACCTTGTCTACTAATCAAGCTAATCGACAACTAGTTACTGCCTTGATTTACCTATCGCAATACCCTCTGCAAGTCTACCATATTGCTAGCAAACTTAATATAGTCCCTAACGCATTGTCCTAACTAAAGATAATCGATTTAGCTGCAAAGCCTAAACCTACAGCTATACCAACCCTTAACAACATCCTGCCTAACAATAGTTAATACATTGCGCAGTCTAATAACACATGGCTTGCCTCTAAAGCCCTAATAGGTCTCAAATTAAAGGAACGCTTCCATACTAGTTATATCGCAGACTTAAGCTACGCAAATATCCTTAAGGATTTGCATAGTGACAACAAAGTCATTAAGAATGCTTCTCTAGCTAAAGCAGCCTTTGCGTTTAAGCTAATCAACAGTCTCTTATACTATACAATGCACAATAGTTCCCAACAGCTTTATATACCGCAATTGTTATACTACAAATTCCTAGCCTTTGCTTACAATAAAAAGCACCACTTTGGCTACAAACGTATGCTACAAGAGCTAGATTAGTACCAGATGCACCAAAAGCGCCAGGAGGTTAACTAGTATATCACCAACTGCCTTGCTTGCAAGGTCAACCATACCAACAATAGCAAACTGCCTGGTAATTACTAGCCAATTCAGACCTAACCAGCCTCTATGCAGGTGGTAGCAATTGACTTTATCATAGGTCTACCAAAAGTCTCTTTAGCTAGCACTCCCTAGCAGATTCTAGGTTACAAGACTTACAACACCCTACTCACAACTACCAATAAGTTCACCAAAAGGTCTCTACTAATTCCAAGCTATGCGACTTATATAGCAGAAGACTAGGGATTAGTATTTACCTAGACCCTACTACTCTTAGACTAGCCTATCCTATGCAAAATCATCTCTAATCAAGACTCTAAATTCCAGTCGAAATTCTAGAAAAGGCTGTAGGCTAGGTTTAACACCAAGTTAATGATAACAACAGCATACCACTTACAAGCTAACAGCCTGTCAAAGCGCAAGAATTAGACTATGGAAGTAGCTATTCGATTCTACTGCTTTACCAACCCTAAAGACAACTAGGTTAACATCATTCCTATACTCTAGTAGAATCTCAACAACATGCACAACAAAAGAATAGCAGCATCTCCTAACAAAGTCCTCTTTAGCTTCAAGCTTTTAAGCCTTGCCAAGGTAATCGCTAGTGTAGGTAACCCTCTAGCCTAGCTTGACCTCATTTGCTTTATCTAATCAGCTATCTAGAAAGACGCTAAGCTAGCAATAACCTTTGCAGCCATACAGGCAAAGCATTAGTATAACTAAAAGCACTGCCTAGTCAAATTTAACGTCAACAACAAGGTTTTTCTCTAACTTCACTACAGCTACTACCTTCTTAGTCAACCTTCTCGCAAATAGTCCTAGCAACATGCAAGACCTTTTACAATTCTCAAGAAGGTTAGCAAGCTAGCCTACAAATTAGACCTCCCTGACAATTGGAATATCCACCTAGTCATTTCAATACAGCACTTAGTCTCAGATACTAGCAACAACAAGAATCCCTATAGCTAGGTTCAGCCCCTGCCAAGCCTAATCAACGTTAGCCCTAACAAGTCTGACAGCAACCTTGACAACCCTAACGCAATATACAAGGTAAAGCAGCTAGTTAGGAAGCAAAAGGTCAAGATCAGCTGCAGCTACATAGCTACAACTTAATACCTAATCAAATAGAAAGGTTAGAGCTACAAGTATAACAAGTGGAAAAAGGTAGCAGATCTAAACCACTCACAACGCCTTATTGACGAATATAAGGCTAGGGCAGGCAAGCTTCTTGCTAAGAAGACTAAAAGCTAGAAAGCCAAAGCCTCCAAGACTACAAAGCTAGCTACTAAGCCAACCAAAAGACTAGCAAAGCCAGCCACTAAGCTACATATATGGCAATCAAGCCATTGCACGCAATAGGCCTGACTTACAAAGACATTGGCAGTCAATTTAACATTGGCACGTGACTCATTTAAGCCAATTACATGTCTTGTTGATTCTAGGATTAGAAGAAGGTTAATCTGTTGTATTGGAATTGATCTTAGGAAATTGACGATTTTGGCGCTGTAGAATCTAGCCTTTTGAATCATTCAAAGGCATCTAGATTTACAATATTTGTACGATTAGATAATCTCTGGATTTTTTAGTGGTAGTGGCTTGACTAGTTAGGCCAATTAAGCCTCTACTAATGGCAGCATTGCCATATGACACTTAAGGGCAGGTAGATCCTTTTTTAAGCCTGGCATATTAATGCGTAAGGCTTGGTAGGGTAGAAAGGATGGTTTCTACTAGCTGTAAATAGACAGTAAAGGCAGGGCCTAAAGTGGCTCTAGTGGCCTGTGACCTAGCCTATGCGCTAGCGCAGGTTAGTCAAAGCCTACGCGCCCTTTGCGTAGAAACCACCGAATATCATCACCACTTTTACTTCGTACAATATCACTAGATTGCTATTGAAGTAGCCCCTTGCCAACGCGCTACCTTGCAACCTCTATAATAGCCTTCCCTATAACAATTCTTCTTGTAACTGCCTGCTAGCAAATTCCTTGCAGTCTAAGACTTTCTCCCATTTACTCCTGCAATAGCAAATGCTAAGCTAAAGCCAAAAGCCTAGGTTATTACACTATACTAGCAGTACTTGACGCTATATAGGCTAGGCTTGTGAAGACTATTGTAATGCTGCTGTCGCAAGACTTAGCTAAGGCTTAGCATCTTCTTCTTGTATCGCCATTGACTTTAGCAATAGGTTTAGGTTATTTCAAAGTTAGCCTTGTAAACAGCTAGCAACTAGAGGGTTCTAAATGCAAAGGTATCAGTCATTTTCGCCCTGCCAAGTAAACAATCTGTCAGTAAAGCTATTTAGACCCAAGGAAAATCACTTACTAGCTGCTATTCAAGATGCCAGTAGCAATCAATATCTAAAAGCTTAAGCTAAGACCTTCTCTAAAGCACCTGCAGTATCATATAATAGCAAAGAAGACTAAGTTAGTCTTTGACAATACATTTGCCTATACATTAACCAATATCTTCTGCCTCTTGCATAGCTATAAGAATAGCCTTAAAAGCTACCTGATACTCTTTAGTAATACAATCTAAAGCATGGTAAAAGATTTGGCAAGGCAGACAACCAAGGTAATCTTTTGTTAGAAAATCCTAGCAGACCCTTTTCTCCTACTTTGCAACCATCTGCTTCAGCTGTTATTCCTAGTCGCTGCATATCTCTCAAAGCGCCTTGACAAGACAAAAGAAGTCGTTGTTACTGTTAAGAAGGTAACCCTTAATATTAAAGTTGCTTGACTTAGTAGATAAAGTAACCCTTATGCCCTAGTTTAAGTAATGCTTGATTAGATACTGCGCCTACTAGTCTCTCAACAGCATCCAAGACTTCTATAGATACTAAAGAATCTTTTTCTAATCAGAAAACTCAGTCTGCAGATAATCCCATGCCTTCTTAAACTTATCTTTAGTCTCTGCAAATACCACAACCTTCTAAAGCTAAAAAACCCTATGATAGTCATAGGGAATATGGTTAGAGGAGTTGGCAGCCCTATCTTAGTAGACTGCTAAGTTGATGCGTTAGAGTGTATTGCAATCTGCCTTATTAAGCTATACCAAAGCTTTCTAAGCCTTGTCATTATCAAAGGACTTAAAGGATAAGTCTGATTGATATTTCCACTTCTTTTTGGCTTAAAGCAATACATTCTAGTTAATATGGAAAATGCAAAGCTATAGCTATGTATTTGGGAATACAGTCTATATTATAAAGTTAATTACTTAAGTTAGTAACTATACAAGCAGTATTAAAAGACTAGGTTGCATACTTTTAACGCTTTGCAAAGCTGATTATCTTAGTTAGTAATTACCATCTGTAGCACTAGAGTGTTAATCTTGGCTTAGATCTAGTCTAAGCCTTCAATTAAAAAGTCAAAAGACTCTCTCTTCTTATCATTGATAAGTCTAAACGCAAGGTTTACCACTATATTAGCGCTAGAGGTTGTAGTAACTACCATAAGAGGATATTAGTTCTAGTTAGTGCTATACGTATTGTTAATAGAAAGGACTTTACTATAGCGCTTTCATATCTTCTCAAACCATAGGAATGTAAAGATAATTCCAAGCAACTAGTCTAGGTTGTTAGGATTTATCTTATAGGCGTAAGTAATGCCTTCTTTATCAAACTGCTTTATCAAAGCACTAGCTAAGGTATAGCCATCTATCTCTTCACGCTATAGCCAATGACAGGCATTGATAATGTCTTTTTAGGTATAGACTATACTAGAAAGGCAGTCCTAGACAATTCCTTCAATATCTTACACTTATATTCCAACTCGCATTGACTACTCTTTAACAATTTAAACAGCTGCATCTATTATCTTCCAGTGCATTGGATAGGCTAATGCGTTGCTTAAGAGCCTATAGTTATAGACCTAGCAAGCTAGGTCTTTGTAGTTGCAGTAGACTTAGCCTTGCTTAGCTTAACCAATCCTAGAGATTACCTAGGCAATTGCAAACCTATAAAAAAGACAGGCAGTCTTACAAGACTTTGTTTAACGTATCGTCAAAGCAGAAGCTTATGTTTGGAAAGATTAGTCGCATCGGATTACATAGCAAATTAGCTTGCCATAGATATAGTCTAACGCATTGCTTTGAATAAAGGCATATCTGTAATCCTTCACCAATTTGTTCAGGTAGTTGTAAAGCTCTTGTATAGTTGCCGCAGAGATATTCAGGCCGTTTTCTTGTAGGATCCTGCCTTCGAGAGGAAGTAGAAGTCAAACGGCAAGGTCACAGTCTTCCTCGCCAGAATCTTCCTCGCCAGAATCTTCCTCGCCGGAATCTTCCTCGCCAGAGGCTTCCTCGCCAGAATCTTCCTCGCTGGAATCTTCCTCGCCAGAATCTTCCTCGCCAGAGGCTTCCTCGCCGGAATCTTCGTTGCCGGGATTTTCGTCGCTATTGCTAGGGGCTTCATCTTCATTGCCAGGGCTGTCTAAAAACCCTTCCCATTCCGATTCATCATTAGAATCGCCATTCTCACTGCTGGAGACTGTCAAATCGATGAACTGCTGTAGGCGTGGCTCTGGGCGTAGCTCTAGGCGTGGCTCTGCGCGCAGTTCTTGGCATAAGTCATATCGAGGACCATATTTGATCAGATCCTCAATATCAGGAAACTCCTCAGAGTCGCTGTCGCTCTCCATCGCAGGTTGGTCAATCGCGCCTGGCAAAGGAGGGTGGTAGGTAGGAAGGTAGGAAGGTGGAAGATTTTCGTAAGGTAGGTAGGTAGGTAGGAAGGTTGAAGGTTGAATTCACTCTAAGTCTGATTCTGCCGGCAGAACCGGCAGAATTATACTCGCACAGACCACAGGCCCTTACCGCCCTTGGCAGCAGCTGTCAGAATATCTGGCGGCCTGGTACCACCTGGAGTGCACAGACCCCCTGCACCTGGAGACAGTTGCCCCTGCACGCGGAGACGAGCTCGGATTTGGCTGGCACTGGCTGCCGCTTTAGGCAGCACTTTTCCCTGGTATTACTACGTCTACTTCTACGTCCATACTTTTTTCACCGTCACCCTTCGCCACCCTAAAAAGCTTCCCTTCTTAAATAGGGGGGACACGCTGAAGTATCCTGGCTTTTTCCCTCTTCCATTGCAAACCGCCAACGCCACCAACGATGGACGGAGTTCCGCAGCAAGACTGTCTGCTCTCAATGGAGCGAGCTCGAGCCTGCACCACCAAGAGTTTGGCCGGATATACGCCTTCCTCTAATAATAGCCGTCGGGACACCAGCCTGTGAAATCGCAGTATCTCATCGGCAAAACAATATGATAACAGGCAAGATTGACAATTTTCCACGAGCTACATTCATCTACCCACTGTCTCTCACGCATTCACCGGCAAAACGCGTCTAATGAAGCAAGCCACAATACACATTCTGTCCAACAGCAGTGCCGAACCCTCCAAGCGTGTCATTTCAGCAAGTGCGAGACCTATAATCTACACATTACACCAGCTAGTGAATCGGCTATATCCAGCTAGCAACGTCTGTTTCGTGTCGCCGATGATGAAAGTCAACTCGTCATGAGTTGTTGCAAGCCAGTGGCTAGCTTCGCCGAAGGCTCTGAGGCAACCAAAAGTCCCTACGAAGCGAGGGGTGTCAGCCGAAGCTGACATTGTGGGTGCATCCCCTCCTTCAGTATACATCATCATGGCCGGAGCTCAGGAAGTCGTAACGTCACAATCATTAGGGGTCTGAGGCAACCGAAAGACCCTACGAAGTGAGGGGTGTCAGCCGAAGCTGACATTGTGGGCACAGCCCCTCCTTCAGTATACATCACCATGGCCGGAGCTCAGGAAGTCGTAACATAAAAATCATTGGGGGTCCTCACCTTGGTAGTTGTACTACCACAACAGCAAGCAGCCGATGATGAAAGCCAACTCGTCGTGAGTTGTTGCAAATCAGTGGCAGCTTCGCCGATGGCTCTGAGGCGTTGAGAAATAATGCTCGCTGAATGGACGAGGAGCGATGGGTACGACAAGTGTCTAATGCGACTGACGTTGTATATGCATCACACGAGGGTATGGCAAATATTTTCGGTCAACTGGGCCTGGAAGACTCACGGCATGGAGGAAGTCAGTCGAAGAAACCACGGTCTGCTTGTCTTGACCGAAGATCTGAGGAGCCAAGCGGATAAATACGAGTCAAGGGGAACAGGCCACTATACAACTGATGCAGAGAACTGTACTGATATTTGTGTTGAGAATGTTATAGGTACCTGGTGATGGATGGTCTCCAGGGCAGGACATGAAGGAGAAGGCGTGAAGTGCAGAGTGCGAAAGGAGAACCTGGAAAGGAAGACGTTGGGAAGAGGGTGTCGAGGAGAGGGTGTCGAGGAGAGGGTGTCGAGGAGAGGGTGTCGAGGAGAGGGTGTCGAGGAGAGGGTGTCGAGGAGAGGGTGTCGAGGAGAGGGTGTCG